GATGGAGACCGGCAAATTGGAAAGGAGGTTCATTCCCTGTAGCCACTCAGCTTATTTGCCATGGAGAGATGCAAGCCCTGTGTTACAGGGATTCTTGTTTTCCAAGAGCTAAAATAAATCTATATTTAATCTGAAACATCACAGTTTTTTAATATTTGCCATTCACTAAAATATTCTAAAATAATATGTCATCCAAACAGAACAAGTGTCTCGCTAAAGGTCTTTGCTTTATATGTACAATCCAAACAGTAGTTTGTAAAGTCTGAAAGTAGTTAGATCATTATTTTAGGAAGATAACGGTGGCAGACATAGGTTTTAGGTAAGGGTAAAATAGCAAGACTGGAATTAGGAAGGCCTATTAGAAGTTTAAAGATGAGATAGATGTGAATTAACGTTTGTTAAAAGGGATTGAGAAGATTCCAGAGACACATTAATGGTTTTTTCTTTTCATACTTACTGATAGTAAAATAAATAATTGCAAAGGGTTATTATTGAAACATACTTCTTTTTATCCCTGACTTCTAGTTTCTCCTATGTAAAGGCAATTTCTTTTAGCAATTTGTTGCATAGCCTCTAGATCAGCGGTTCTCAACCTGTGGGTCGAGACCTTTTTGGCGGTCGAACAACCCTTTCACAGGGGTCGCCTAAGACCACCCTGCATATCAGATATTTACATTACGATTCATAACAGTAGCAACGTTACAGTTATGAAGTAGCAACGAAAATAATTTTATGGTTGGGTCACAACGTGAGGAACTGTATTTAAAGGGCCAGAAGGTTGAGAACCACTGCTCTAGATGGTCTGACAATATGCCCTGGATGTACATGTGCCCTTTGCTCCCTCCCTCCCTTTATACAAATGATAATGTAATGAATTTCTGCATCTTTGCTTAGCAGTATATCTTGATTTTTTCCCTTATCTCTTCGTGTAGATATAAGTATCTTCTCACTAATTTATTTCATTAATATTTGCATTATATTTCATTGTATAGGTGTATTATAATTAATTTACCTAGTCCCCTGGGGTAGACATTTAAAATATTTTCAGTCTTTCATACTACAAACCATCTGTGGGTGTATATTCTTATATATACATCTTTGAGCTTAGGTATATATATTTGGAGGATTAATTTCTATAAGTAGAGTTGCAAAATCAAGTGGTATATGTGCATTTAAATTTTTTTTTGCATTTAAAATTTTGATGATTATTACTGTATTGCCCTTAAAAGAGGTGGTACCATTTATCACTCCTCTACCAAACTATCAGAGCCATGATAGAATATATCAATATTTTCATAAATATGAAGGAAAAATGGTATTTCATTTTCATAAATTTTTACTTATTTAACTATGAGTAAATTAGAACATCTTTTCCTATTTGAAAAAAAAAAAAAATCTACCTGCATTTGTTTTCCATGAAGTTAGTCCTTCTTCCCTCCTAGTTTTCTACTGGTGGTTGGACTTTTTAAAAAAATTACTTGTATATGCTTTTTAATTAAGGAAATCAGCAAAATTCTTTCTCGGTATATTATTTTGCTTTTGACTGCTTTTACACTTTTTGGTCTGGTGACATTTAAAATTTTTAAGTAGTCAAATTTATAAAAATATCAGTTAATATTTTTGTAGCATATAGTTGCTATGCTATATTTTGAACAGTCTTTGTATTTATTGTGTAATGCTTAAGTGTCATAATTTTTAAAACAAGACAGTCTCATAGTTATGTTTGCATTTTAAAATTTTGATCTTTCTTAGTGATTAATTTTGATAAAAGGCAAACAGTGTTTATAAAACTACAATTTCGTGTATCTTTTACATGACTTAGTATTTAAACATTTTGTGTTTTTTGCCTTATCTCCTTCTGGTCCAGGGATTGGGAAAAGCAGTCCCTGGTGCACATATTTGCCGGGAGCCGGTCCATGCTTGCTGTTTCAAGGGACCTGGCATATATGGCATACTGTTCTTAATATGTTTGCTCACCTTCTTGGCACTATGTGTTTTAACCAAGGTCTCTGAGAAAGGTTGTTTCCCCAGGTAGGGATTTTCCCCTGAAGTTAGGGAGGGAATAAAACCTCTTAACTAAGTGCCAGGCGGGTAATTAATCATTTTAACTACGAACAATCATGCTTAAGCTACATAATCTTTACTCCCTGGAATGGAGATAAGAAACGCCCTAACCTTTGTAATAGAGATTGATAGGATTGAATCAACTGGTATAAATACAGATGTAACAAGACAGCAAGACACAGAACTTAGAACACAGAACTTAGAACACAGAACCAAGGAAGACAGAACCTACACAGAACCTAGAGACAGAAGAACTTCGCTGGAGAGAACATGGCAAAAGATCCTGGACTGAACCTGACTACAGAAATTGGCAAGAGAACCTGACTAGAACCTGGTGACTGAACCTGGCTGGAGAACCTGGACAGAGCCTGGCTGGAGAACCTAGTGGAGAACATAGATACCAAACCTGGCTGGAGAACCTAGCGAGGGAACATGGCTACAGAACCTGGCTGGAGAACCTGGAGAACTTAGCAAGAGAACATGGACACAGACCCTGGCAGGAGATCCTAAGCAGAACCTCTCTGGAGATCCAGACCAGAACTTGGCTGGAGATCCTGGCTGGAGATCCTGGCTAGGCTGCTGATCAACTGAACACTGTCTCCGTGTCATTCCTTCTTCGCCGACTCCATCCACACCTTTGGGGACCCCTGGACCCGCTGGGGTTGGACCCCAGCACATCTTGGTCCTTTCCAAAGGCACCCAACCACAGCAGAGAGAGCCACAAGCTTTGGATTGCTGATAGCTCCAAACAGTCACAAACAGTATCTGACATTGTCTTGCATGAGAGATGGGGACTCATAGCAGATCTACTTAATACAGAGACACAAATCCAAACAGGCAGCCAAAAAACAAGCCTGAAAGGAAAGATCAAGAGAATTCTCCAGAAGAAGAGATAATTGAAGTGGAGATAAGAAATATAACAGACATAGAGTTTAGAATAATGATGGCAAAAACACTCAACAGCATGAGAAAAGATATAGTATCTATGAAGAATGACATAGCAATAATAAAGAACACAGTGGAAAAAAATACAGAGCAGATTAGGAGAAGCCGAGGATCAGATCAGTGAATTTATTAGATGATGGTAGAAAGTCACTCAACCAGAAAACAAAAAAAACCACAACAACAACAATTGAAGAAAACAGGACAGCTTAAGGGAGTTATGAAACAATATGAAATGTAAAAATATTTACATAATAGGTGTGCCATAAGGGGAAGAAAGTGAACAAGGAATGGAGAACATGTTGAAGAAATAATGGCCAAAAACTTTCCTAATGGGGTGAAGGAAAAAGTCACACAAGTTCAGGTGGCACAGAGAGTCCCAAGCAAGAAGAACGCAAACAGGCCCATGCCCAGACACATCATAATTAAAGTGCCAAAAATTAAAGAGAGAATATTAAAGGCAGCAAGAGAAAAGCAATTTGTTACCTGCAAAGGAGCTTCCATAAGGCTATCATCAGATTTCTCATCAGAAATTCTATAGGCCAGAAGGGAATGGCATGAAGTATTCAAGGTAATGAAAAGCAAGAACCTGAAACCAAGATTACTGTATCCAGCAACGCTATCATTCAGAATAGATGTTGAAAAAATAGCTTCCCAACAAAAAAAAAGGCTAAAGGAGTTTATCATCACCAGACCAGCACTGCAATAAATGCCAAAGTGAATGCTGTAAGGAGAAGAATAGAGACAGAAAGAGAGAAACAGGGATACAGAATTAAAATGGCAAATAAGTACCTATTATTAATAACTGTAAATGTAAATGGATTACATGCTCTAATCAAAAGACAAGGATAGCTGAATGCATACAAAAACATGACCCAATTATATGCTGTCTATAAGAGACCCACCTCAGAACAAAAGACTCACACAGAATGAGAATGAAAGGTTGGAAAAAAAATTTTCCATGTAAATCGAAAAGAAAAAGCTGGGGTAGCAATACTCATATCTGACAAAATAGACTTCAAAATGAAGGCTGTGACAAAATTTAAAAATTTTGTGGGAGTGCCCAGCTGGCATGGCTCAGTGGTTGAGTTTTGACCTATGAACTTGAAGGTCACGGTTTGATTCCAGGTCAGTGCACATGCCTGGGTTGTGGGCTTAATACCCAGTAGGAAACACGCAGGAGGCAGCTGATCAATGATTCTCTCTTACCATTGATGTTTCTATCTCTCCCTCTCCCTTCCTCTCTGAAATCAATAAAAATATATTTTAAAAAATTTTGTGGGATTTGTCATTTAGGATTGCAAAGTAATATATAATAATTTTATAGTTTTCTATGTTCATGATTAGGAAATAAATAATATTTCTTCCTGTATGAGCTAATGAATTATTAAAGGCACATATACTAATTAATAACAATATTTTTCAAATAATTTATTTGAAAATAAGGATTTTGGACAGTAGGATAATGATAATTAAGAGAAGCCTGGAGTTTGAGTGTCCGTATGTCATTAATTAGATACATAATTGGTGATATTGCTGTAACATAAATGTTGGTTGAGAGATTCATGGTGACTCGCTAATATGTTTTTGTTTCTATCTATCCCTTATATTCTTCTGAAAAAGATTAACTTGAATTTTTTCAGCTTCCCCTTGTACTACGAGTATGTGCCCATTTTAGATAATCTTCACATGTATTGCTACATTTTACCACCTGGTATCCTGTTGCATTTTTTTGCAGTGTGAACACTAGTAGGCATGAGTTCATTCTGTAATTCCAGAATGTAAGTGTATTTCTTTGTATTTTTCTTGAAGATATTTCTATTAAAATTTTACTGAAAACATAAAATGAATCCTAAAAGATCTATATAATGTTTCAAAGCCAACTATTTTAAAACTAGATATCTGATTACATAGCTGTTATCTATTGAGATATTTTTAAATTGGGGCAAAAGTCAAAGAAGCAATGAAAGTTATCATTCATTTATTTTTCCTAGGAGTTTCTTTGAGTTGCTGCTTTTCTTTGGAAGAGATGAGTTTTATGAAGAGCCCTTAAAGGATATTCTTGGATCATTCCAGGTAAAACAATTTACTATTTTACATTTTGTCTATATATAAAACAAGCCTTTATTCTCAACCTAAAAGTAGTATATTGGTTACTTATTGCTTATAAGTTTTTAAATTTACTCAGGTGGCAGTGCTTAAGATCCTGTTATACTGGTGGGGAAAAAGTTTCTAAAAATGATTTTTAGCTGTATTTGTAAGCAGTCCGTAGATAGGATTCTAATTCTACATTTGCTATACCAGAGCCTATTACCACCACCCTGTAGATTCTTTTTTTTTTTTTTAAATATATTTTATTGATTTTTTACAGAGAGGAAGGGAGAGAGATAGTTAGAAACATCAATCAGCTGCCTCTTGCACACGCCCCACTGGGGATGTGCCCGCAACCAAGGTACATGCCCTTGACTAGAATCGAACCAGTCCGCAGACCGATGCTCCATCCACTGAGCCAAACTGCTTACGGCCACCCTGTAGATTCTTAAGCACATCCTGGACACATACTCATTTTTTATTGCTGCAGGCTTTGGTTTCAAAGCTCCATGAAGATCTGCCCGGAGCTAGACTCAGGCTGTGTGTCTCATGCCACGTTTCCCCTTGTCTATACCCTGATTTTCTCATCTATTTTCTCAATAGTCTCCCCAAGATAGGAGGCAGATTTTTTTTTTTTTGCATTCTCTATGAGAGAAGAGAGTAAAAAAATACACAGGAACATTCCTGTAGATGGCAAGAACATTTGATCTTTTTACCATTTAGGAAGAAATAACCTAGTACTGTGGCTCACTAATGTGTCCTTAGCACTTCTCTGGGGTGGAATAAAGGAAGATGTGCTTTGAGCTCCCCCTAGGGGTAAAGTGTTCAGACAAAGTATCTTACATTTATTCCTGTGGTGTTAACCACAAAGGCTGATGGTCAACCATTAGTATTCCTGTCCACCTTTAGGAAGGAGATCCACAGAGTAACAGAAGAATCATGCGATACTGTATTTCACCTAGAATTTTTATTTCATATTTATTGAAAGCAAGCTTTTAGATTGAATAGATTTTTATTATCAATTACTCTGGTATATACACAAAACATGAAAATTATAAGCAAACTTAATTGGCTAAGGCATATCTAAAACATCTTCACATTCAGAATCTGAGTCTAGATATGCTTTTCCACTCAGTCATTGATGTCTATTTTTCTATACCATTTTGTCTTCAGTGACATGAAAAGTGTTGATAATGTAGCATTTCCTAAAATAATAAAAGAACTAAAGTCATTGGTACTTGGCTTTAAAAAGTTTAAGCTGGCTTTATGGTCCTGTTTAGCCAATTTTTGACTCCTGCTTCAGAGGTGTTGTTAAGTTGGATTAATTACCCTAAACCCATCCCACATCTTTGATTCCCAAGACTTAATAAAGTACTCTGCCAGTCTCAGATTTTATTTTGAGTCACCAATATACCCTTTTGCAAGTGTCCATGATGTCTTTGAATGTCCATTCAAGCGGAATGACAACTATATGATGACCATTACCAGGTTGACAATGGATTCTAAGATATCATTGAATATACAACATTCTGATTTTAGAGTTGTACAAATATGAAAAAATGCATGTTACAATCAGTGAAATTAGGAACATTACATTGGACATTTTACTTTATCCATTTTTATATTCAGCAAAAGGTAAAAATACCTGTTGTTATGGAGCTTACATTTTAATTAGAGCCTATATTCAAGTATTTAAAACATTGATTTTCCATTTAGTTTTTCCTTTGACACTTGTGTTCTTGGCAATCCATTAAACTTTTACTCAGCAAATATTTATTGAGTTCCCTCTATGTGCTAGGTACGAAGCTCTGGGACAAACAGTAGTAAGCAAAAACAGAAATACCTTGTTACTGTGGAGTTTAATTCTAGTGTGGAAACAGAATGACAATAAACCAAATTGTAAATTAAGAGTATTTTAAATGACTTAGCAAAAAATGATGAAGACCAGGGAGATAGGGAATGCTGGCATAGTGGTACTGGGGAGGAAATTTTAGTTTTAAATGGATCGTCAAGGAATTCCTCATGGAGATGTGGTCTGTGTATTGGCAATGGAAACCAATGAAGTGTCCATGGAGTAGATGACTTGTATTAGATGTATGAAATCATAACATTTTGAAGGGATATAGTCTTTTTTTTTTTTTCTTGTGTGCAGGGTTTCCATTCAGTTATCAATATAGTTATTTCCTCAAGGGAGGGTTTATAGATTTTGTATCTCCTACTCAAATTCTAAAGCCCACCACCTTTTCTCCTTTTTGTTGCTTTTTACAATTTCTCTGCCATTTCTGTAATTGTGTTGCTGTGGTCTCTTCCCCTTTTCTTCAGCCTTTTTAACTCCTGCCTCCTAGGATAGACTTCACCTTTTGTTCCCATTTTAGCTTTACCTAGATAATCGTCATCCATTTTCTGAACTCAGCTGTTGCTGTTGGTGCTTCTCAGGCCTATGCCCTTAGAGCCCCAGGAAGGCCAACATGCAGTACATCCCCTTAAAACTGGGGTGTGTAATGTCTGGCTCGTGGGCCATAGAAGGCTGGAGAAATCAATTGTTCTGGCCCTGCCCAGGCACTAGGGGTGAGTTAATTGTTTAACCAAATATAGGCTAATTTTTAAGTTGCTAATTGTGTATAGCCTGCAAATGACGTTATAAATATCCAAATGGCCCTTGGCAGAAAAAGATTCTCCACCCCTGCCCTAAAATCTTGAATTTACTAAGCTTTGTGGATTCTCCAAAGTTTTTGACTGACTTTTGATAATCCAATAGCCATCCGAGTGTCATCTTTGGAAATTAAAAAAAAATTTATACTGCTAGTGTAAACTATTTCCCCAAGTGGTTTCCTTCTGTCCATCTTTCATACAGATTCATACCAGCTTAAGATCATGCTCTTTTTCCTCTACCATGTACTTTGGGGGTCTTGTTAAAATGCAGATTTATGACTCAGTAGTTCTGGGGTGGGGCCTGTGACTCTGCATTTTTAACAAGCTCAGAGGTAATACCTATAGTGCTGGTACCTGGGTCACACTGAGTCCGCAATAGACTAATATTCTTTTAGTTAATTATTCCTTCTGTATCCACCCTCCACTCCCTGTCCCCATATTCCAACTATAAGTATACTAGCTTTGCTACTCATGCTGTCATCGTGGGTAGTTTCTGTGTCTGTTTCTTCATTTGTGAAATGAGGACAGTACTGTACTTGCTGCATAGGATCATCAGCTTGGCATCATTCTTAGCAAAACATCTTACTTAAGGTTTAAGGCAGGCCTGATAGCTTGTCTGGTGAAGGGTGTGGCGTTCGATGTCATACTACCTGGACTTACCTGTTTTCACAATAAAACCAAAACCTAGCCCTTAATTATAAGCTTATTCTGTTCTTCCATTGATTTCTTCTTTAAAAATAAACAATTCATAAGTTATTTTTATTTATTTGTTAATTTTCACATGAGGATATTTTTTCATTAATTTTTAGGGAAAGTGGAAGAGAAAGGGAAAGACAGAGAGAAACATAGATGTGAGAGAAACACATTGATTGGTTGCTTCCTGCCCAAGCCCTTACCAGGGCCCAGGCTGGGGAAGAGCCTACAACCAAGGTACATGCCCTAGACTGGAATTGAACCCGGGACCATTTGGTCCACAGGCCGATGCTCTATCCACTGAGCCAAACTGGCTAGGACCTTCCATTGATTTCTGATCTAAAACCTGAGATGTTCAAGTAGAAATTTTTAAGTCTTATCCACTGACTATAATTTTCCTCTGGCTTATTCCCAGAAGAAACTTCAATCTTAGAGACAGATGTTCCACTCACTGGCTTCTAACAGTTTGCTTTTTTATCCCTTAGTTTCCAGTAACTTATTATTTTTTTTACCTCAACACAAGATGATGACACATTTCTAATATGATGCACTTATCTCACTATTATTATATTTAATCTGTTTATTGGTGAATTTTTTTAATTAAATCTTTATTGTTCAGATTATTACATTTGTTCCTCTTTTTTCCCCCCATAACTCCCCTCCTCCCAGTTCCCACCCCACCCTCAGCCCTCACTCCCCACCCACTGTCCTCATCCATAGGTGCACGATTTTTGTCCAGTCTCTTCCCGCATCCCCCACACCCTTTTCCCCCCCAAGAATAGTCAGTCCATTCCCTTTCTATGTCCCTGATTCTGTTATAATCACCAGTTCATTCTGTTCATCAGATTATTTATTCACTTGATTCTTAGATTCACTTGTTGATAGATGTGTATTTGTTGTTCATAATTTGTATCTTTACCTTTTTCTTCTTCTTCCTCTTCTTAAAGGATACCTTTCAGCATTTCATATAATCCTGGTTTGGTGGTGATGAACTCCTTTAGCTTTTCCTTATCTGTGAAGCTCTTTATCTGACCTTCAATTCTGAATGATAGCTTTGCTGGATAAAATAATCTTGGTTGTAGGTTCTTGGCATTCATCACTTTGAATATTTCTTGCCACTCCCTTCTGGCTTGCAAAGTTTCTGTTGAGAAATCAGCTGATAGTCGTATGGGTATTCCCTTGTAGGTAACTGAGTTTCTTTCTCTTGCTGCTTTTAAGATTCTCTCTTTATCTTTTGCTCTTGGCATTTTAATTATGATGTGTCTTGGTGTGGTCCTCTTTGGATTCCTTTTGTTTGGGGTTCTCTGCGCTTCCTGGACTTGTAAGTCTATTTCTTTCACCAGGTAGGGGAAGTTTTCTGTCATGATTTCTTCAAATAGGTTTTCAATATCTTGCTCTCTCTCATCTTCTGGCACCCCTATAATTCGGATGTTGGTATGCTTGAAGCTGTCCCAGAGGCTCCTTACACTATCTTCGTATTTTTGGATTCTTTTTTCATTTTGCTTTTCCAGTTGGGTGTTTTTTGCTTCTTCGTATTTCAAATCTTTGACTTGATTCTTGCGCTCCTCTGGTCTGCTGTTGGGAGTCTGTATAATATTCTTTATTTCAGTCAGTGTATGCTTAATTTCTAGTTGGTCCTT